AAGGGGAGGCCCAGAACCGGCTCGGGTAACCCCCGGGTCCGGGCCGAGCCTCGGTTCAATATTTATTTTTTGCCTTTTCCTAATTAACCCCTAACCCCCCCCCCCCCCCCCCCTCTCCCCCAAACCATTCCAAACCATCTCAAATGACCCAAAATACCTAGTCCAACCCAAAAACTTAAAAAAATAAAATAAAATAAAATAAAATAAAATAAAATAAAATAAAATGGCCCGGACCGGGCCCGAACCGGCCGGGCCCGTTCACATTTTGAGGGGCCCGAGCCCGGACAAGATGGAGAAAAGAAATATGAAGATCAACACAGAAGGAGGAAGGCATTCATTTCAGAACAAGCTGAAAGAGATCCTCTTTCTGAATCAGAGTCCAGCTCAAACTTAAATAGACATATTTGATCAAATTTGGATAATGGTAAAATAGTTATAGATCAGATATCTACCAGATCAGAAAATTTCAGACCAGAACTGACCAAATTAGATTAAGCAGACCAGACTAGAAAATTTCAATCCAAGTAAAAACCTCCTAAGAATGTTATTAATCAGCCTGGTTTCAACACCTCACCAAATCAGACCAGATCACATTTAAATATACGAGATCAGACCAAATTTGAACAACGATAAAGAAGACATAAAAGTAATAGACATATGGAGTATAATTACCAGACTAGATCAACCCACAAAATTCCAGTCAAATTAAAAACATCCTAATGGTTATTATATCTCAATTTAAATCTCTTATCAAAATGAAGGCTCATAAAAATGAGGGTAACTTTTTTTCTTTCAAATTTCATGGAGATGATCATAAATGAAGTATTGTAAGTTTCACATGTCCAATAAAAATAAAAATAAAAGATAATGAGAAATAAATAATTTTCACTGTTTTCATAGAATACATATTTTTTAATCTTTTTACCAGTATACACAGAGAACAAGATTTCAAAATGAATTTGTAAACTTAAAATCTCTCCATTTCCTTTCCTTTTTGAATTGTTTCAACATAAAGGTAATGTTCCCTTCAATTTTTAATAAATGATCCTACATAGCATTAATACTTTATACTTCATTTTACATAAATTTTCAATTTTTTCATTACAGCTTTATTTATTTTTCATCACTACTGCAACAGGAGAGAGTAGTTTATCTATTTATCTCATTTCCTTAATTTATCAGGCCAAAGAGTTGATGGCGTCACTTTAGTAAAATACTACATGCCAAGTGTAAAACAAGGAAAAGGGTTGATTTCATTCAAATAAATGTTTGCATTTCGTTTAAAAAGTGAACATACATGTCTTGGTTAGCATAATATCATTTCTATCAGAACAAGTTTAATTACAAAATTTACAATTCCCTGAAAATTATGTACATAAATAACCGAATTAAAGTAAACAACGTGTTTATAATATGTGAAAATAGGTAATCACGCATTAGCGCAGCATGATTAAACAAATGTGTATATAATTAATTGCAAGTTACATTTTTTTGTTAATATCTCATCCCAGTTGCGGCAAAGTAATTTTGAGCTCTGAAAAAACAACTCAGAATCTTGAGATAAGTAAATCTGAGTCGATTCAATAATCCACTGTGTTCGTTGTTCACACCCACTCGTGCAACAACACACACAAGAAATTAGCGTAGTTAACTTATTGATTCATGTGTTCTTAGGTTTCCAACACCTTCCCTAGGTGAATGCCATAAATTGGTTAAACATCTTCATATTCTTAACTAAAAGCTAACTATTGAGGACTAAATGACCCGCATGAGAGGATCTTAAGTGTGGATGTGATCCACATGAACCAGTCCTAGTTTTTAATTGCAAATTACATGTATAAAGAGTTGGTGGAGGTCGTGGGACAAGTGACCCTTGGCCCTAGATTCGTAAAAGATTATGTTAAAATTAGGAATACAACAAGTAGAAAATTGAGTTCATCTCAATTGATCGATAACTATCATACACTGCTACAAGCATGAATAAATCTCATGCGTAGGTTTCTCTCATACAAACATAAGGTGGGAGAGCTTACATATATTCGTGAGTGGGTGCATGAATTTACATGGAAATGAGCAAAGTATGGGTCCCAATATAATAATAAGTGTACAACTATGTAACAATAATATAGTGACATACGTATATAACTAGTTGTAATACTAATATAATAAAATATATAAAACTCAATACTCCCCCTCAAGGTGGAGTGTGAAGGTCTCGAACACCCAACTTGCTTCGTAGAAACTGAAAACGATCGGCACCAAGAGCTTTGGTAAAAATGTCTGCAACTTGATTAGCGGAAGAGACGTAGCACGGCGTAATTTCACCACTGGAGACACGTTCACGAACAAAATAACAATCCATTTCAACGTGTTTGGTGCGTTCATGAAAAACAGGATTAAGTGCAATGTGACGGGCTGCTTGATTATCACAAAAAAGAGGAGTGGGTCCAATAGGGGGCATACCAAGTTCACGTAGCAAATACCGGAGCCACAATACCTCACTAACTGTGACAGCCATAGCCCTATATTCGGCTTCAGCGGAAGAACGGGAGACAACAGACTGTTTCTTAGTCCGCCAAGAAATAGGTGAAGTGCCAAGAAGGATGAGATAACCAGTGCTAGAACGACGGGTGAAAGTACACCCAGCCCAATCCGCATCACAGTAGCCAGATAAAGTAAAGTTGTCATCGGAAGATAGGTAAATTCCCTGTCCAGGCGATTGTTTGAGATACCGAAGAATATGGAAAGCAGCATCAAGATGAGATTGTCGAGGTGCACTCAAAAACTGACTTAGTTGCGACAGAGAGAAGACAATGTCGGGGCATGTGACCGTGAGATATAATAAACGCCCAATCAGTCTGCGGTACGCGGAAGCATTAATGAGCGGACTGCCATCGTCTGGTTGGAGTTTCAAATTTTGTTCCATAGGAAACAAACTGGGTCGGCTCGCGAGGAGACCACTTTCTTTTAAAATGTCAAGTGTGTATTTGCGTTGGCTCAAGACAAAACCAGTAGGTGAACGGGCCACTTCTATGCCGAGAAAGTATTTTAGTGGGCCTAAATCTTTGATGCTGAAGGTGGTGTCCAAGTATTTCTTGACTCCTGTGATGTGGGAAATAGTATCTCCGGCTAATATGACGTCGTCCACATAGATGAGAGCAAAAGTGGTAGTGTCGCCGTTCTGATAAATGAACAAAGAGTGATCTGCCCGAGATTGGCGGAAACCAATCGTAATAAGCGCTTGGGTAAATTTTTGATACCAATTACGAGAGGCTTGACGGAGCCCATAAAGGGATTTATGTAATTTACAAACTCGTGTATCACCACTTTTAGAAAATCCCTGTGGAATGCGCATATAGACATCTTCAGATAGATCACCATGAAGGAATGCATTATTGACATCAAGTTGGTGGACAATCCAGTTGCATTTAGAAGCAACAGCTAATAAGCAGCGGACATTCACGAGCTTTGCTACTGGTGCAAAAGTTTCGTGAAAATCAATTCCTTCAACTTGTGTAAACCCTTTAGCCACTAAACGAGCTTTGTAACGCTCCACGTCACCATTAGGTTTGTACTTGATTTTATAAACCCATTTGGAATCAACAACCTTTTTTCCGGGTGGAGGAGCGACCAAAGTCCAGGTGCCATTATTCTCCAAAGCGGTGATCTCTTGTTGCATGGCTTTACGCCATAGAGGGTCCTGGATTGCTTGTGAAAAGTATTTTGGCTCATCGCGTGAAGTGATGGCCGCTAGAAATGCTTTATGTGTTAATGAAAATTTATCATAACTAACAAAATTGGAAATAGGATATATCGTCGATTGAGCTGAATTGGTAGTGGGGTGTGATTGACCGAGTGAGGGAGGCAAGTCAGTTTGAAAAGTATCCAAATGTGCCGGAAAGTGACGAATTCTTTTGCTCCGTCGCAGCTCAATTATGGGAGATGATGTCTGATTAAGTTGCTGAGTTGTGCTCTGACCGACTGACGGGCCAGGAGTGGAAGAGATATGGGCATCATTGAGGCTGCATGTGTCCATGTTGGTGTTTGTATGATTATTAATACATGGAGGGGTCGACTGTCCAGAGTCTGCATTAGGGGCCTCCAATTGGTGGGAGTTGGCAGGAGCGTATGGTGTGCGGCATGGGGTGATGAGGTTGGTGGCTGAATTTATTTCTTCACCCTCCATGTGAGGTTTGTCCGTGAGTTGGTACACTCTAGAGGCTGGCATAGGGAAATGGTGGGATTTGCGAAGGTGATAAGGTGTGGGCCTTTGGTTGGCAGTACACGAAGGATGAGCATCTGGGTCCACAATTTTGTGATAAACTTCATCAACGGCAATATGGAATTCTTTATGAGTGTGAGATATTGCTTTGAACGGAAATTTATCCTCAAAAAATGTAACATCCCGAGAAGTGTAAATATGAAATTTCTGCAAGTCAAAAACCCGACAAGCCTTTTGTCCATGAGGATAGCCAATAAATATACACGGGCTCCCCCTCTCACTAAACTTGTCCTTTCTTTTATTGTCATGAGCATATATCAAACATCCAAATACTCGTAAATGGTCGTAGCTAGGCATCCTTTTGAATAAAATCTCATACGGGCTTTTATTATTAATGACAGATGACGGTAATCTGTTAATAATATAAACGGCAGTGAGAATGCATTCTCCCCAAAAAATGATCGGTAGGCCTGATTGAAAACGCAATGCCCTAGCTACTTCCAAAAGGTGTCGATGTTTGCGTTCCACTACCCCATTTTGTTCTGGCGTGTCGGTGCAAGATGTTTCCACGAGTATTCCGATCTGTTTGTAATAGTCTAACAAGACATCACTTCGGAATTCTAGTCCATTATCAGAACGCACACGTTTGACTTGTTGCCCAAACTGATTATTTGCCATATTGCAAAATTGTATCAAAAATTGGGAAACTTCAGATTTATTTTTCATGAGGTAAACCCAAGTTCCTCGAGAAAAATCATCGACAATGGTTAGAAAATAGCGTGCACCGGTAATAGAATCACATTTGTATCCTCCCCATATGTCACAATGGATTAATTCGAAACAATGGGTAGATTTATTTGTACTAGTAGGAAAAGGAAGACGAGTCTGTTTCGCTCGCACACAGGGGTCACACAAATTATTCTTGATTTTCTGGAGTCCCTGAAGAGTAGAGATATGATGTAGCTTCGCATCTGAGGCATGTCCTAAGCGCCGGTGCCATAGTTCAAAATCAAGAGAAACTGACATTGCCACCCCTACACTCTTTGGAGGATCCAGATAATAAAGGCCATCACGAAATTTACCCACTCCAATCAGCTTCTTCGAGGGTAAGTCCTGTAAAATACAAAAGTCCCCAAAAAATATTAGTGTACAATTGAAGTCATTAACAAGACGGCTAACTGAGAGCAAATTGCACTCAAACTGCGGAATATATAAGACACGACTAAGATGGAGTCCATTGGGTAAATAAAGGCTTCCAATTGCTCGAACTGGAATTGATTCTCCATTAGGGATTTTAACTGGCGGTTCACAGGCATGAGTCAAAATTTCAATGAAATTATCACCTTCACATGTGATGTGTTCAGTCGCTCCGGAATCAATTATCCAAGGGCGGACACATGATGATGTACCTGCCATATTTGCTTGGGCACTAGATGAGAAAGGTTTTTCAATAATTTCAGTTTTTATATAATGAGCAATCTGCTCCAATTGTTCAGCCGAGAGTCCAGGTGGTATGGCATAATCAACATGAGCTGCTCTTGTTTGCCTCAGATTGCCACGCTCAAAATTTGTGAAACGTGGTCGCGCATGTATTTGGTTACTGCCACGTAACTGGAAGCTTGGTTGCTCTTTATTTCCACGGATATCCTGCTGCCGCCCCTCTCCTTGTTTGTTGCCTTTTAATTTAATGCTCCAATTAGGTGGGTAACCATTTAACTCAAAACAATGCTCATACGTGTGGTTTGTCTTCCCACAGTGTGAGCAAGAACGAGTTCCTCTCAAATTTTGACGTCGGTTCAAGTCAATTTCTCCTTTGGCCTGGACTTGAAATGCTATGCCATCAACACTTGGTTTGCGAGCGGATGCAATAGACCGATGTTGTTCACTTTCCGAGATAAGATGATATGCGGCGGTGAGTGTGGGAATCAGCCTTGTAGCTAGAATTTGGGTCTTCAGTTGTCCGTAGATATCATCTAGACCCATTAGGAAATCATAAAGTCGATCCCTATCCCTGGACTCGTTGATCTGCTTAGAAATATTACAAGAACACTTTCCACAATCACAATTTGGGCCGGTGTTGATAGAAGCCATTTCGTCCCAAATTCGGCGCAATCGACTAAAGTAGGCAGAGACAGACTGATTGTCTTGCCTAACGGCACTGAGCGAGCAACGAAGTTCATAGGCTCGTGGAGCACTCTCCTTTCCAAAACGTTCCTCCAAGTCAGTCCAAATTTCACGTGCGGTTTTGAACTTGACGCTTTGGCGAAGCTCAATCTCCTTGCTACCGTTTAACCAAGCCTTAACCACGGCATTTGCACGTTGCCAATATGGAAGGTATGGTGAATCCGGTTTAGGCATTGGAATATCTCCATTTACAAAACCAAACTTGTTCTTCGCATAGAGGGCATTGCTCATTTCATCGAGCCAATCACCGTAATTCCCGTCGCGAAGAGGAGTGGTAACATAGACATATCCGGGCTTATCTCCGGATTGAATAAAATAAGGTGACATAGAATCTATGACGATGCCGGCGGGTTCATGTCCGGTATCAACGGTTTTACCATCATCAACCATGGCTTAGAAAGAAGGATATATGTATGTGTAATTTCTAATACTCTCAAGAAGATGAAGAAGGTGGCTAAAAGATATACTCTATTTCCAGGATTTCGGCTCTGATACCATGTTAAAATTAGGAATACAACAAGTAGAAAATTGAGTTCATCTCAATTGATCGAGAACTATCATACACTGCTACAAGCATGAATAAATCTCATGCGTAGGTTTCTCTCATACAAACATGAGGTGGGAGAGCTTACATATATTCGTGAGTGGGTGCATGAATTTACATGGAAATGGGCAAAGTATGGGTCCCAATATAATAATAATTGTACAACTATGTAACAATAATATAGTGACATACGTATATAACTAGTTGTAATACTAATATAATAAAATATATAAAACTCAATAGATTAAAATAAATCTAAATGATTCAAGGCTAATTATATAGCTGGGAGGTTATAATTGAAAGCAAGTGATTTGAGCAAATTACATTGTAATGATCATATTCCCTTAATCTCATTGGAGATTTGGAGTTTGTTAAATTTGACCAAAACAAGAAGCAAGATCATATAAATTATATGTTTGAAATTTGCCCTGAAAAAGAAAAAGAAAAAATTGCACATCACAAATTAGTTACTTTAAAAGCAAAATGATAACTTTAAAAGAAGAACACTCCCTTTGACATGTTGGAGTGTCACATTTGTGTACTCATGAAATATCAAAGTAAAATTGTTTGATTAATATATGTGCAAATGTGCACGGGAAGAATAAATAACTTGAGCCCCATTTGAAAGGTAAGTTGCAAAGTTTATGAAATAATCGAAAATGAAGAATTGAATTTTTTTAGGAGAATGTAGAGTTGATTTCAAAGTGGAGCGAGACAAAGACAATAATAAATGGATTTATTTTTAGTACCATCACACAAATTGCAATATTGTACATTTGTTTGTGATAGTAAGTACAATCACGAATGAATCATACAATATAATTACATGTATATTTACAAACTATGAAATGATTATAGTTTACATTTCACCTAAGTATGACTATAACTTCTAATAACATTTTTATTTTTATTTAAACAACCTTTCAAAGAATCGATTTTTGCCACAAAAATAAATGCACATATATATACAAATCAACCAAAGAATGCTTCAGAAATGTTGGCGAGCTGTTGCTGAAGCTCTAGGATTTCAACATGAGCACGGTTCCTCTCTTCGGCGTCGTTCGCAGATAAGCTCTTCGATTTGTTCACTATTTTCCTTTGGATGCTTCTCACCTTTCTGTAAGGCCAACGCACCAACCCATCTCTCCTACATATCTTCTTCATCACTGTAGGGCAAATGTTCATTCTCCTTGCTGCTTCTTCTATGGGGAGATGAAGGTACCCTGCAAAGTCTTTTAACTTCAACTTTCCAGTTCTTTCTCTCTGAGCAGAAAGAGGGATCTTTTGGGATTTATTCTCATCCTCAGGTGCATTGTTTTGGTTTGATATGTCTGGTTGATTCATCGGTTGGTCACCACCTGTTTTTCAAGAATTAAAATGTCAGTAATATTACGAGAGTCACAATTAAGTGCTTGTATGTTGGTTTTTATTTACTTATCAGTTTTATGATCCATTCACTAATAATGTTAAATATGCTATTTCGACTAACTTGTTTATAAAATGTGTATTTTCATACAATAAACTCATACTCCGTATTTTAATAGATTATTCTATTATAACAAAATGCAAAGCAATTTTAGTCTGACTAGAAAGTTTTTGCCTAACTAATGAGTTAAATGATACTACAATAACATATGGTTTGTCTTATGTCCCAAACTTTTCACTAAATCCACAGTACCTCTCTTCACTAAAACATAAAAAAGTTAAATTATAAATCGGGACATAAACTCATCTGAATAAAATTTAGTCCGAACAATATGCACTATAGTTTTACTTTTGAAATTGTTTTTCCTAAGTGAAAAATAATTCAAATACCCCAAAATTTGAAGGGGTGTGAGGTAAGCATCCCAAACATGCATATGTAATTTTAATACCCCATACTTTACATAAAAGGTTATTTTAGTACCATGGTCATGTATTATTTATTTCAAAATTGTTCATTTTTAAGTTAATTTCATAATATAAAACATTGTAGCATTCATGAAGATACAATTAACATTCTAAACTTCCATTGTTAAATAAAAAAATACTACCCCCACTCTATATAATTGCAAAATTTTTAATTTGCTTATGCAATTAACACCATAAACTTACATTTTTTAAAGAAATAATATATGACAATGATGCTAAAATAACTTTTTATATAAAGTTGAGGTATTTGAATTATTTTTAATTCAAAGTTTGGGACATTTAATTATTTTTCCCTTTTCCTAATCATATTAAATTGAGTTGCACTGACATCGGATAAACCAAATTAAATAAAAAGTGTATAATGCAATGTTACAATGTTTTTTAAAAACTAACAAATTCAAGCTAGAACTAAATCGAGCTCATATATAATTTGGCTGAATTTAGTGATAATTCTTTTAACTTGTTTTAGGTCACATTGGACCGAAGCCCGAAATTCAGATAACAGAATAGAAAACCTAAATGTAACCCTTAAAAATACATACATTAATAGATGTGAGCACCTGAAGTTGAAGGAGGTAGTTCGAAAAAGGAGTCAATGTCCAAAAAATCAGTCCCTCCTCCCAAACCAACACTCATAGCATCATAGAACTCCCATAACGGGTCTTGAAGCACAATATATCCCTCTTGCTTACGATCCTCGAAATACCTCACCAAAAATTGCTTCACTGTATCTGTACTTTCCTTGTAAAAGCTGCAACACCCCGACACAAAAAAGCCAATGTTACATTACAACTATTGATATCACGAAAAAGTTAATATGCAAGTAAAAAAGAATTGAAAGCTCTAAAAATAAGAAATAGAAAATATAAAATTGCTTTTAATTCACTTATAGTTTCTAAAAGGAACGAGTGTTGCAACACTTTCAGAAAAGAAATCAATGAATTATTTGGAAGTGAGAGTAAAAATGTTTTGAAATTCTAAAATCTGACTGACATGTTTTTATTTCCTAAATCAAAGTAATTACTGTCAAACTTTGAAAATATGTCATGTTTAAAGTCTGATAATACCAAAATATGATAGTAATTAATCCTATTTAAGGAATACAAATATAACAGTTCTATTTTCAAATCCATAAATGTTTTTACTCCTATATTTAGTGCAATTTTTGTAAAGAGTAAACATATGTGAGGGAGTAAAAATCACAGGAGACCATGTGCGAAGTAAGGAGGCTATTCAAAGCCTCGACAAATGAAACTCTTTAAATCCTCCAGTATAGGTAACAAATTTTGTTTAATATAAGTAATTTATATGAAAAGGTCAGTAGTGGTTAAGGTTTGCAGACGTATGGGAAGGATTAATTATTTTACTAATCATCTTACTCGAAAGTTTGGTACTGTGGATGCAGAGAAAAGTTTGAAGAGAGTTTCTCTATGACTGCATGAGTGATTATCCCAATACTTCCATGCAATTGAAGTTTCCATATTTGCAAGCCTAACAAAGTGATCATTACTAAGCATGAGAACAAAGACATACAATTCTATCCAAGTTATATACACACAATCTACGAAGTACGAAGACTCAAGAAAAATACCACATTTCTATTTCAAAAACTCTGCAGATAGGGAGTACTTCTTCACTAAAAAAAAGACGTTTCTCGTTCCAAACTTTCCACTTTTTTGTGCAAAATAACAAGTATGTAGTACTATGTAAATATGTAAAACTTGAAATGTAGAACCTTTGGTTTGCCGTACAACACGCACCATTTGTATGACTTATTTCACGAAGGACCATGCATGCATTGCAAATAGACACCGGAGACGATAAAGCCATTGTCGGCCATATAGCAGTGGTCGATGTCGTTGGGTTCTCTGCGTACTCCGGAGCACCATGACCATTAACCTCTGGGAAACTTCTCGAAACTCCGGTATCGGGGAAGCACTCCTGAAGTAATAATTCTTGAAGCAGAGGGTCCACAAAGGTATTAGAGGCGGCGTTTGGTTGACCAGGAAATGGATGAACATCGTTAAAAGGACAACTTGGATGCGAGAGAGTGGGATTATTTGGAGCGTCAGCGGGTTCCAGACTCCATTGCACTTCCGGAAAGGTGTCAGGAATTTCATGACTTTGGTTCAATGGAAGAGGAGGGTGATCAAAAGGATGGGGATGACGGAAAAGGACAGGTCCGAAGTTTGAAGGGTCTGCCATTTTCCATCCCTGTTGGGCCCCACGATGTGACAGAGAAACTTGGAGGTATGGCGACAGATCTAATCAATGCGAGAGTGAAAAGATGCAACAATAATGAAATGGTCCTATTTTAGAAGATGGATAGAAGAGTCTGCGCGGGAAGTAAAAAACAGTTAATGATTGTTGGCTTTAGTGTTTTGAGTTTTAAATTCAAGTTTTAATAATTAATAACAAGTTAACTTTTTACTCCTAGTCTAAATTATAAAATTTGAAATTAGTTTTGAAAAAAAATAAGATTTCTTATTAAAAGATTATTGAAATAAAATTCATTTACAAAAATATCATTAAAGTCCTATTGTATACTTAATTGCATTGATTTTTGAGTGTTTATATTTTTACTTTTAATTACTTTTTATGGCGTGTTGTTGTGGTAATTGCACATTTAAGGTGCAATCATTTTATTTTTCTAGTTTGTTGTAATTTAGTAAATTTAGAATCATCTTGAGCAAGAAACAATCAAGAATCAACAAAGGATCATGGAAGGGATCTTACAAGATCAAAGGAAAGTGCAAGAGAACAAGAAATCATGCAAGAAATGTGATTTGGTGACTTACCCGGTCGGGTATAGCCTTTACCCGGTCGGGTATGAAGTGACCCGGACAAAAAGACGTGCAGAAAACACAAAAACGTGGGCAAAATATTTGATTTTGACAAATACCCGGTCGGGTATCTCAAATACCCGGCCGGGTATCCGGTGCAGCACCTTCAAAACACCTATAAATAGCCCCATTTTCCTTCACATTTAATCACTCCTTCTTCCATACTCTTAAGCTCAATTTAGAATAGTATTTCTTTTATATTTTTATAGCATGTTTAGTCTCCAAATGAGGAGCTAAACTTCCATTTCTTGGTGTTGCCCTTGAAGCTTGTTGATTATTAAAGTTGTGAGTTATTTTCTTATCTTCTTCCCTTGAATATTAATTATTCTCTTATTCTATCTACATATTAATGTTGGGGAGTGTTGCTAAGATGACAATTAGTTAACATCTCGACATTAATTATGGTAGTATTTATTTTCTTCCTCTATATATTAATGTTGGGGAGTGTTGCTAAGATGACAATTAGATAACATCTTGACATTAGTTATAGTAGGATTATTCATATTTAATCTTCTTCCTTGAATATTAATTCTTCCCTTAATCTATCTCTATATTAATGTTGAGGAGTGTTGCTAAGATGACAATTAGTTAACATTTCGACATTAATTACTACTAGAAACGATCAACGAACCGATGGTTAATCGTTGATGGCTTCACAAGTAAGTAACTTCGGTTTATTAATGCACGGTCGTGGTTAATAAACTTAAGAGGGATTAATTTTGAGGTTATCAATCTCAATTGATTTCATCAAGGAGTTAAGAGATTAAATGCTACTATTAAGTCGGTATATGGCGGTGTTCTATACTTGACTAATAGTAAGGGTTATTAATGAACGGTCGTTGTTAATAGCTACCCTCGATGAATTGGATATACTCCTCGATTGAGTATTCGAGAGGGAATAAGTTATAGATATTACAATGATCGACTAAAATATATCAACAAGTGGAAAATAGCAATGCCAAGTCCTTTTTATCTTTAAATTAAGTTGTTCATCTTTATGTTTAATTAAGTTAAATCATTCAATCCCAAAACCCCCCTTTTTATTTACTAGTTTTATAAAAAGAGAATTATTCCTTTCCCTGTGGATACGAACTCTACTACGCTATACTACGTATAAGTGTTAGTATTGAATTTATTTTGAGTGCACTCACGACAAAGTGCACGTCAATACTGTTTTAGTCACATAAATGTAAAATTAAACGTAAGTTATTATTACCAAAAGCAATATACTAATGATATCACATTATAATAAATAAATTTAGTTTAAGTCAAAATTTTGTAATTATATATAATTTTAAATACTACACATTTATATGTGGTGCACACTGTTTTTATATATTTGATATTTCTTTCATCACACAGTTAACTTGAAAGTTATTCGGAATTCTAATGACGTTAACCCATAAAATTAATTTCATATACTCCATTGTAATATATATTATTCAAATTTAATTTATTATAGATTTATAAATATATAATTCTTAAATATTCATAGTAAGTGTTTACTTTTAAAACCATAAAAATCACTTTGTGACTTTAATTATGATTAATTTGAATTTATATACATTTATGTATATTAAATCGTATGAAATGTATGATATCCTAGAATTGTAAAAACTAACCACACTTTCAATATCTTTTGAAAAATAACCATAATTTCACTATGACCGAGTAATTTCAAAAGACATACAAAGTATTTGACAAAAAACAGCCTTATAGCATTCTTCGCACATGCAATTCAGACCCAGTAAGTTCTATTCATGAATGACTTAAGTACTTGAATTACTTATTAGTTCAATATGGGACAAAGATAAATTCACAATTTAGTTCGACTAATTTACAAATTAAAACATTATGTAATCAAAGTATGCAATTACTTCAAAGAAATTAAAACCTCAATATAAGTTAAATTTACTTCAAATATATATACTTCACTACATAATGCAAAAAATACAAAAGAATGAAACTCTCCAACTTAGAGTCGTTAATCTTACATATATAGCTTACTGTGTCTATTATGAAGTAATTATTTTCACAAATTTGGCTGAACACTATATGATATTGTAAGGGGATGATTTTAAATATTTCTTCTGTTGACAATAGTATAATACCCGTGCGTTTCATGGAACATTTGTAATTTATAATACCCTTAAAATGGAAATATTTTAAACACAATAAAATCTAAAGGAAAGTGAAAAAGATACATGACACAATAAAAACATATAGACGTTAATCACTATATGTTGTTACCAATGAAATCGCAAACAAAATCAATAAAACCGGGATAGCTTTTTAAATATATAGTATTAGGTTGTTATTTTGATCAACATGTAGATTTATTTCTAGAAAACAGAAATTTTAATTGTTATTTTGGCATTAACTTTTTTCTATTCACATGGGAAAATCTGTGAAAATTAAACTTACTTGAAAAAATATATGTTGACAATAGTGGATTTATATCTCCAATTATTCAACATTTCAACATGATTCACACAACACGTGATAATTTTACACTATGGAACAGTAATAAAACTAGGTGGATTAGGGGATTAAGTATTCCACTATTCACATAAACCTAGCCTGATAAAACACATTACACAGTTTTTGAAAACAAATCTTTTAAATAAATATAGAAACATTTTTAAAAATATAAATATAGACACTTATTTTATTATTAATTATTATATATCGATATACATTTTGGCCCAACACTACACACTACATTATACAAACTCAATCCTTAGTGTGTGTATATGTAAATTATTCTATAATCCCAACAATAATGTAATCTAGCCGCCTTATCTGTCAATCTAAGCCAATATTCACTATACCTCTTCCTCACATTTTAGATTCAAATACAAAAGAATCTAAATGTTTTGAAAAACTTTTGGATTTACAATATTTATCTTCAAACTATTGAAACCCGTACAACCTTTGTTACTTGGTAGTATTTTCAATCATTCACGCTTGATAGCTTATGAAATCTACTATCCATTTAAATGGTTAAATGTATATACCGGACAATGCTAGTAGAAAGGTTATTTTTCTATAAATTGTTGGACCAAATTTTACACTACTATTCAAACATATTTTTTACTCTGGGATCGGCCGGGGCTCATGATAATTATTGTGTTTCAATTACTCAATATTAGTACTCCCTCCATTCCATTTTATCTGTCCTACTTTCCTTTTTGGGTTGTCCCAAAATAAGTGTCTCCTTTCCTTTTTTGAAAAAAAATATGTGGTCTACACCATTTCACTTTATTATACTCAAACCTCAACCACAACTTTTAATTTTTCAACCACAAATTTTACTTTTTCAACCACTTCACTAATAACCGTGTCAAGTCAAACTAAGACAACCCAGTAGACATTCCAAGCAGCTTCTCTCCATCCGAAAGCAGCATTCCTACCCTGTATTTACTATTGGTAGATTCTAGGGTACGCATAAGATACCATACATTTATCCACATGGACCAATGAGAATTTTGCAGTTGAATTATTTAAATTTAAATTACAAATGATAAAGTGATGTTGTCCAATCAAATGAATAGTAGATAGTTAGATACGGTACCCCATTTTTTAAAAGGGTACCGGAGTTGTCACCTTTACTATTTACCCTCTTCCGATCAACAAAGATGAGGTGTTGGAGTTTTCTATGGAACCAGCTAAAACCCATCCTTTTCGCCGATCATCTCAGGCAGCTTTACAATCCGATGTATAAATTCATTGCCAGATTTTAGTGTTACTTTGTGTTTTTCTTCATAAGTTCTTATGAACTCATTCCTTATTGATTCTATCATTGTAGTTTTGTAGCTCATACATCGCACGGATGGCCGAGGACATGTCTACACTAGTGCTAATTTGCGATGAGCCACATCTCTCTCCCTCTCCTGTTTTCAGCCGCATCTCACCGGTGGTATTATTCCCTCTCTTGCTCTTACTGGCGCTGGAATCTCCCTCTTTGCAGGTACTACCTCCGTCCCAAAAAGAGTTGCAAATTTGATTTTTCTTAGTCAAACCGTCTCGTTTTGTTTACTTAATTAGGATGTCAATTTTTAATTATATTATAATTTGGAGTTTACAACTTTGAAGATATTTTAATGTAGTTTTTGAATATGTAAATTTTAATTATTAAAAACTGAATTAATTATCCATAAGAAGGGTTGACTTTTATTATTGGTTGACCAAAAATTGTTGACTTTGCAAAACAAATTGGGACGGAGGGAGTAACTTTCTATCTCACACTCTTTTCTTCTTGGAGCATCTCCAATGGAGATGTCTACTCTCTTACACATTCTTACATGGGTCCTATTTTTTATCTCACAAGTTTTATGTGTAGAACCTACATATCTTCACATTTATTT